ATCTGTTTAGCTGTGCATTTATTGAATGAGCACTGTGCGATGTCCGAACTGATTGCACTATATTTTATGTATAATCATTTTCTATTTTTAACTGTCTTAAATTCATTTTAAATAAATTTTTAAATCATCTTCAAAGTTTTTAAATTCCTTGTTTTATTTTTGTGATTATTATTTTTTTAATGATTATTTTACTTTCTTTTATGTAAAGTACTTTGAATTACCATTGTGTATGAAATGTGCTATATAAATAAACTTGCCTTGCCTAAGCTGTGAATGTTTCAATTTAAAATATTTTACACACATTTTCATTATTAAAAATTCAAAGATCCAGACTTCACTTACAAATATATAAAATATTCAGTCGGTTTAGAAATACAACCTATTATATCTAAGAGGCAACTTTTTTCCATTTTATTTCGCTTTACAAATCCGCTAACACAAATTCAGTGGTTCAAAGTTGATGAAAATATTCAGCATTACACATTTGGGAACTGCAGGAATAACAGTAAAGTACCAATGCATAATTTCCATCTGCTGTTAGTCGATCGTCAGCAGGTGATGCAAGTGAGTGTTTGAGAAAGACCACAGCAACAGGTACAGCAAGTCATTCATTCACAAAAACTGATTCACAGAAATGGAGCAAGCGGTAAGTATATGTAATGATTATCAGGGCCAGAATATATGCAGACAAACTAAGAAAGACACAAAAACTGTGTTTACGTTTAATTGCTTTGATGTGATTGCTGCGTAACGGTTACACAGCAATAACATCAAAGCACATCACACAGAACAGTTATGTTGCAGCCATGTTGCTGCTGTAGCCGGTTTATGCCGAGATAATTCATACCCCTTCGTTTGAAGTGTGGTCCCGAAAAATCTTTATTTGAAGGGCTTTCTGGCCCTTCCCTCCAACCAAAAGAGAGTCGAGACACCCCTACCCCTTCCCCTTCACTTACAATGCACAAAACGGGTAGGGGAAAAGGGAAGGACTAAGGGGTAGAAATGGGATTGGGCCTAATTGTTCACCTTGACTAGCAATGTGCGCTAAAAAAGTAAATATTGTAAATTTTGATTTCATGCACACTTTAATCTTTGCTTATAGCTTATTTAGTTTATGGAGAAGTTGTACGCTTATAGAGAATTGGTGAGTTGGCCCTCCTGGGTCACAATAAAACATTATTCTCAACGTCTTCATTCTCAACTTCATATTCGCTGTCTTTCTGTGTAGGGGCATCACCATTCCAGAGCATGCCATTCCTGCCTCAAGGTTATGCTGTCCACAGCCATTTCACCACCCAGCCAGGTAAGGAAGCCCCCTTACATTTTTTTATAACATTGATCACATTGATATTAATGTGTCTTTTTCTAAAACATTTTAGCTTCACTTTGCATCTTTTCTGGCCAGAAATATGTCCTACATTAGTATTGTGCTGTTTTACCTCAACAATATAGTTCCATCATTCATTCTTTCCTCAATTGAACTTAACAGGATTCATCCCTAGTGCTAGTATCCCCCTCCAGAAACAGCTTGAACATGCCAATCAGCAGTCTGGCTTTACTGACTCAGTAAGTACTCACTGAGACTCATTTGGTAAATATTGGGAAGCATGGTCTAACTTCCATGAGAAAATGTATTGTTTTATGTGTGTACTGCAGATGGTTGTGGCTGGGTAGTACTTATTTGTGTGTATTGTCATTAATAGGCTGCTCTTAGACCCATCCATCCACAGGCTTTACATGTGAGTGCAACCGGTCTGATGCCCACTCCATCCATGGCTGTCCAGATCCCTGCTGCCAATGTGAGCTCACTAACCTACATTGAACCTTTCTAAATGTCCATCATTGGATACCCAGGTGAAAAAAAAGTGCAGTAAAATACACTTTATTTCAGTACACTTCCATAATGTACTTAGGAAAGTACTCTATTTTCATGCACTAGTTTTGTTCTTAATATACTAAAAATATTCTTTAGTACTTAAGATAATCTTAAGAACATCCAAGTGTACTCAACTATGCTATTTTTGGACACCATGAATATGAACTAAAATGTGCTTTTAACATACTTTCTCAGTAAAAAAAAAATGTCGTTACCACTTGTATTTCAATTGAAACCATCTTTCATACACTTAAATATATTCATCATACATAGCAAAATACACTTATTAATTATTTAAAATATAAGATTAATATATAATGAATATATACACAATGTATTTATAATGTATTGCCAGTGTTGTGCAAGTTACTTCCAAACTGTAATACATTATAGATTACTTGTTACTGTTATTTAAAAGTAATTCCTTACCTTACAATATTACTGTCTCAGAATTGTAATGCGTTACATGACTCCTGTATAACTACAGAAGTAGAACTTAAGGTAACACTTTATTTTAGGGTCTCTTAACTAGTTGCTTATTAGCATGCATATTACTAGAATATTAGCCATTTATTAGTAGTAATTAAGCACATATTAATGCCTTATTCTACATGACCTTATTCTACATCCCTAATCATACCCAATACCTAAACTTAACAACTACCTTACTATTAATAAGCAGCAAATTAGGAATTTATTGAGGAAACATTCGTAGTTAATAGTGAATAAGTGTTCCCTATTCTAAAGTGTTACCATATTTAACATTCTAAAATGACAAAATGTACTGCAGTGTTTTACATCCAGTAGAGGGCGATATGGTGTAGCATAATGACTGTGGGCTATCCAGGCTACTAACAATATAGCTTATAATTGGCAAAGTGAAGGCTCAAGACAATGCAAGAAAGGATGACAGCCAGAATCACAAACGATCCAAGTCTGTTAAAAGTATGGTAGAGGTAAAGTGATTATCTGGCAATATCTGTGAATAGCTTGGGTCTATTCATATTAGACACAACAGGACTATATGTAAGAGTTTATGTATGTAAACTCTTAATGCCATGACAAGATGCGCATACGTCCATCTCGCGCATGTACGGTCTTCTGCCATCTTCACCCATTAGCCCCAATAGTATCCAGCTGCAGACCCGCAGCACCAGCACTTTCAGAACCGCAGCCACAGAACCGCATTCACAGAACCGGAAGTGAGGGGCGGAGCTTACATTTTTTAACAGAGTAGCGCCACCTTACGGTTTTAAGGGGTAATTTGCTTTTATTACACATTATACGTCATACTTTATGTATGTATGCATTTTATAATGA